AAACCTCAATTAGGTCTAACCCTAATTAAACTTAATCAGCACTCATTAAGTCTTACTTACATTAGGCTTAATCACTCTATACCTCAATTAGGTCTAACCCTAAGTAGACCTAATTAGCCCTCATTAAGCCTTACTTACATTAGGCTTAATCATTTTAAACCTCAATTAGGTCTAATTCTAATTAAACCTAATTCACACTCATTAAGCCTTACTTGCATTAGGCTTAACCCTAATTAGATCTAATTAACACTCATTAAGCCTTACATTAAGCTTAATCATTTTAAATCTCAATTAGGTCTAATAATTAGACCTAATTAACACTCATTAAGCCTTACTTACATTAGGCTTAATCATTTTAAACCTCAAGACATAATTAACACTCATTAAGTCTTACTTACATTAAGCTTAATCATTATAAACCTCAATTAGGTCTAACCTAATTAGACCAAATTAACCTTCATGAAGCATTACATTAGGCTTAATCAACCAGAACCTCAATTAGGTCTAACCCTAATTAGACCTAATTAACCTTCATTAGGCTTTACTTACATTAGGCTTAATCAACCAAAACACTCAAGTTCAACTCAACTTAAACCTAAGTCAACCTAAACCTTAGGTTCAACCCAAAATTGAACTTTAAGTTAACCTAAAATTCTTAGGTCCAACCTAGCTTGAACCTAACAACTTTAGTTTCTCAACTCATACTGAATCTAAGTTAAGTTTAACCAAATAACCTTAGGTCCCAACCATATTGGACCTAAATACTCTAAACTTTTAAGTTCAATTTATATTGAACTTAAATCAACTTTAGGTCCTAACCACATTGAACCTAAACACTCTAAACTTTTAAGTTCAATCTATATTGAACTTAAATCAACTTTAGGTCCTAACCACATTGAACCTAAACACTCTAAACTTTTAAGTTCAATCTATATTGAACTTAAATCAACTTTAGGTCCTAATCACATTGGACCTAAACAACTTAAAAGTGCTACCTACATTGGACTTAAAATCATCCCAATTCTAAGTTCTACCCACATTTGACTTAGAATCACTCAAACCTAAAGTTCAATTCATAAAGAACTTAAATAAATTTTAAGTCCTACCGACATTGGGCTTAAAATTAACTTCAACTTTAGGTTTCTTCTTAAGTCCTACCTAAATTGGACCTAAAGCAATCTTTAACTTTAGGTTCTGCCTGTATTGAACCTAAATCACTTCAAATTTTAGGTCTCACCTAAATTGGAGCAATCTTTAACTTTAGGTTCTGCCTGTATTGAACCTAAATCACTTCAAATTTTAGGTCTCACCTAAATTGGACTTAAAATTATCTTCAGTTTTAGGTTCTGCTTAAATTGAATCTAAATGACATTAACCTTTAGGTTTTATCTAAATTGAACTTAAATGATATCAGTCCTTAGGTTTTACCAAAACCTAAACCCAAAAATATAATCCATTGCAACTAAACCCAAAACAAATGATATCGTCATAAAAATTTAATTTATCAACTCACCGACATAAAATTCACTTTAAAAGACATTAAAACTTAAACTTGAACATAAAAATATAACTAGGTTTGAGAAGATAATTTGGAGAAGGTAACTCATGGTTGCTAACAGAATATCTTCCAACTACTTGTGGTTAATCATACCGCAAACATAATGACCCGGGACGACAGAACCATAGGATCTAGATCGGGTCATCCCAAACAAAAATAAACAACAAAAATGATAAAAATGACAAAATTTAATCGACTAATAAATTGTAAACAACCTAAAATTTTACAACCCCTAACATCCGAATGAGACATTAAAACATAAATTGAATCCTAATGAACAAATATCACCAAATGCAACTTGAACACCAGTGTTCAGATCTACGAAGATTTCTTGAACGATGCAATCTGTAGTTATTGACAAGAATCTTCCAGTCCTGGTTAAATAACTTTCAGACTAAGTAGATTTAAATACTTTGCGGCCCCGGGAAGACGAAGTCATAGACATCTTGACCGGGTCATTTAAAAATTATTCAACCAACTAAATTGACAAAATTAGACATGATTTCATGCCAATCGTATTCTGTTTAACAGGTTCATTGGAGACATAAAACAAATTACGCTTTAGATTTACTTTGCATTTTATAGAAGTGTGCAACTCTGTTTTGCAGGACGACATCCTGAAACGGAACCTCAGACAACTAAATAACAAAAACATAACAAAAAAAAAATAAAACGACATATCATGACAAATAGAACAAAATAAAATAAAATGACAAGACATGACAAATGAAAAAAAAAACAAACAACAAAATCAAATAAAATGACAAAACAAAAACAAAACGACAAGACATGACGTGAACAAAACAAAAGCTTTAAGGTAGAATCGAATTCTTAGAAATCTATTATCCTAGGAATAAACATTTGATGTTTCTTTCCTTCATCTTGACATTTCTTAGAAGAACAAGTGTTAACGTTAATCAGGAGTTTTTTCAGATAGTCTTGACTGTATGAGATGTAATTAAATATAGGAGTTTGCTCTCCTATAGGAGAAAGAAGAACTCAGAATATGTGATACACCTAAAATCTCTTGTTACCAAATTTTTTATGTGGTTTTCTTTATACGAGAAATCATTTTTTCTATAATAACTATATTAATGAAAATCATCCTGAAATTTCTTTTTCTCATATTTTCTATTTTAGTCATTTCCTTGTTTATCCTAGTTAATTAACATCTGAGAATCTTTCACATGATTCAAAAGAATAATTTACTTGGAGATTATGACAATAAAATAGATAAATAGAATGGCGACTCCTTTCAAACAACAACACCAAACCAACGACATGACAACGGGAATTGAAAGCGATGGATGACACGGCGCTCCGGCGGCCGACTCTCCCTTCTGATGGTTGTATCTGACGGCGAGAAGGTGTTACGGCTGTAACTCATCCGAGGGGAATTGAAAGCGACGGATGAGACGACGCTCCGGCGGCCGACTCTCCCTTCCGATGGTTGTATCTAACGGCGAGAAGGTGTTACGGCTGTAACTCATCCGAGGTGGTGATTATCTATGCTCGTTCCCCTCCCTTCTTGCTATCTTTAGCCACTTCAAGGCCTGCCTTTGTTGCCGCTAGCCCCACCAGAGTTTGTCTTTGCTACCGCAAACCACTTCCAGGTTAGTTCTTGATGCCGCCAGGCCCTCTAGGGGATGTTCCTACTGCTATCCAGCTCTAAACACTTGTTCCTGTTGCTATCCAACCCAAGACACTCGTTCCTGCCGCTATCCAGCCCGTCGCCTACTCTTCCTATTGTTGCCCAGCCACTGCAACCTCTTATGCCTGATGTCCAGCCCCCGAACACATGTTCCTGTTGCTGTCCAGTCCACCACCACCGCCACCGCTCCTAAGCCCTTCTACATCGCAAGCACGTATTGTCAGCCTCCTTCCAACAAGTTGTCATCACTCCTACGCCATCTAGTGTTGTAGCCACCAGCTACAATCCACCTTCTACCACTGTTGCAGCTTCCTTCCTTCCCTTATGGGTCTACCGCTATCCTCTAAAGAGACGTTTATATGCTTTATGATGTTTTCTTTCATATTGCAGAGTCGTGTTGTCACTTAACTTTTGCATGTTTGTGTTGTTTTATATTGAGGATTCGTAGTTGTAACTTTTGAAATTAAGAAATTAAATTTATAATTCACTTGTGGTTTGGGTTAACTCTGGTATGACAATGACCAAGAAAGCTCATAAAACTGAGAGCCAAAACCATTAATAGCATTCAATACAAATGTGAATCCTCTTAAGCAGAATGAAGCAAAACTTTTAAGCATCAAGGCAACTTATGGTGTAACAGTTAAGAGTTTCGTCAAAAACTCCAAAGTTAAGTGTGCTAGCATTAGAGCACCCTTATAATGGGTGAGCTCCTGAAAAAGTTACACTAACAGGGCAAAATCATGAGGTCGTTAGGCCAAAGTGGACAATATCCTGACGGGTGGGAGTTTGGACCGTTACAAATGGTATCAAAGTATTACACCAGTCTAAAGATAGAAATATCTACCTCGTGGATGATTTATGAGTCATGAAAACTGACGAGGACCACAGTTTCTTAAGTGCGGTGATTGTGAAACCACTTAAGCAAAATGAAACTAAACTCTTAAGCATCAAGACGTCTTTTGGTGCAACTGTTGGAGTTTCGTCAGAAATACCAAAATTAGGCGTGCTCGCACGGGAACACTTCTAGTATGGGTGACCTCCTGGGAAGTTATACCACGGGGAAAAACAAGAGGCCATTAGGCCAAAGCAGATAATATCTCGAGGGGTGAGAGTTTGGGCTGTTGAAACTCCTTAATTAGAATAAAGCTAAACTCTTAAATATTAAAGCGCATTTCGGTGTAATGCTATAATTTTATTAGAAACTCCAAAGTTAAGTGTGTTTATCCTGGAACACTCTTAGAATGGGTGGCCTCCTGGGAAGTTACACTAACAGGGTGAAAACTGTGAGGATATTAGGCCAAAGCAGACAATACCCCAATGGGTGAGAGTTCGGGCTGTCACAAAAAAATTTCAAAGATAATTAAAGCAAAGCCATCACCATCGCATCAAAATTTCAGCTCCCAACCTTTCATTCCCAAATTCCTCAACTTAGGCTATAAATAAAACCTACAAGTGATCATTTTTACAATCTTTCGGTCACGAATCAATAATTGAGTAAAGAGCTTACATTAGTTGTTCCCCTTCGAGATTATTTACAGTATCTGATCCATTTCAACTCCCAGAGTTGATCTGAGGATGAAAGATTTCTCCTACGCCTCAAGTGGCAACACTAAATTCTTAAATTAAATGCTTAATAGTACTACACATTCAGCATTAGCTATGCACATAAAAATGATTGCTCAAACAACTCTTTTCATCGTACATAAAGGCCCGACAATGTCATTATTCATACTGTGCCGGCTAGCTCAAGACAAATAAACAAGCCTAAGAAAAAGGGCAGCAAAATCTCACCATTTCCACCGCATCTATTGCAAGGCAAGGGATCTCCCTGCCAAAAAAAAAGACTAATAAATCACCAAAACAATAAAATAAAAATATTCCATAATTTAGAGCTATAAAACACCTTCAGCCCTAGGAACAGAGACAGGGCAACCGCAGCAATGACACTAACGGAGACAATGAGGGTCTGCGTATCGATCGTCCGGTCTCCCCCATAGATGTAAGCGGTGCAATGGCGGAGAAACCTCTGTCGCCTGCGAGCAGCAGTCGTCGCTGGCGGCACTGCTAGAGAGAATGTTTGGGCTTCGGACTTTCGGTTGGGGTTGAGATGAAGAGATGAAGCTGAGAGGAGAATAAGAGGTATAAGAGTAGGAGGAGAGCACAAGGGCTGAGGAGAAGCGTGGCAAGGCGGAGGAGCGAAGGCGGCCATCGATAGCAATTAGTGCGAGTGAAAATATAGCAGGCCGAGAGCAGGGGAGCGCTGGTTCCTAGCCGGATCCGATTAGGTGGATATCGTCACCTCTAGGTGAGTGAGTGGATGAGCTGGCCTTACATTAATCAATTTTACAGGCTTATGTATGTTTGTGATAGCTGCAGCTTAATAATAAACTGCTGCGTAGATAAGCTGGTTATCTATTTATTTTTTACAGTTTAAAAACAGATGTGTTCTGCATAGATAGTTTGGTTATCTATTTATTTTGCTTAATAATAAACTGTTGTGTAGATAAGCTGGTTTTCTATTTATTTTTTACAGTTTAAAAACAGATGTGT